CACAACCTATCTAGGAATTTTCCCTCCATTCCCCTTCTGCAGTATAGTGAATTACATAATATGGTTTTTCTAGCCATAAGTCTTTGTAAACTCCGTGGTGGAATTTTCCATGAGCAAATGAGTAGCTGCTGAATGTTAAAGTTATCCACCTGGGGTATTTCTGTTGAACCAGCATGAAGCAATCTTCTAGGAAGTTCACTCTCTCTCAGGTGTATAGAATTCTGATGGTGGGATTGGTTAGTTTGGTCACTCTTTCAAGTTCAAAAGGAGCCCTCCTAGAAGGAGAAGTCTCTCTGCTGGCTGAGAAAGATGTGCTGCTGAGAGAAATGCACTTCTGAGAGACATGTACTTGCTGAGAGAGAGAGAGACGAGAAAGACACATGCTGCTGACAGATGTGAGAGACATGCTACTGGCAGATGCCAGTGACATCCACTGCTGAGAGACAGACGCGAGAGACATGCCCTGCTGAGAGAGAGATTGCTGGCTGCTAAGTGAGATGGCTAGCTGCAAGAGACAGTGAATTTCTGAGCCTGAATTGTAGTCTGGTACTTCCCTAATAAATCCCATTATCTGTGAGTTCTGTGTGGCCATTGGAGCGAATTAACGAACCTAGCAGAGAGGTGGTGGGTGCTGCGGGAGGAACAGTTGGTGTCAGGGTTTTTGAAAGGGCTGGAGGGAGGCAGCATGTCTGGACTTGCAGGGATAGGCCTTGGGCTACTGATGGTGATTCTGTCTTCCTCTTGTGGGGTTAGAGGAGATAAGAAGACGCAGCCTCCCTGCCCCTTTGGCACCTTTCATCCCTGGTAACCAACAAAGAAAGTTTCCTTCCATGTACAAACCTTTCCTTGACTTACTAAAATAGTGGGCTAATAGAATATTTGTCCTGCTGTGATTGACTTATTTCACTCAGCATAATGTCCTCTAAGTTCATCCACATTATGTGGTATTTTGCAGATTCTACTTTATTCTTTAGGGTTGCATAGTATTCCATTGTGTGTATGTACTACAGTTTGTTTATCCATTCCTTGGTTGACAGGCATTTATGTTGTTTCCATCTCTTTGCTACTGTGAAGAGTGCTGTGATGAACACGTTTTTGTTGTTATTTGCCATCGAGTCAGACCCGACTCACAGCGACCCCTCCTTGGGTTTTCAAGGCTGTATCACTACAGAAGTAGGTTGCCCAATCTTCCTTATGAGGAGTGGCTGGTGGGTTTGAACCACCAGCCTTCTGGTTAGCAGTCAAGTGCCTTAAGCATTACGCTACCAGAGCTCCTGTGAT